GTGAAAGGGAAATGAATAGAAGGGACAACCATCTCTCATATTTGTCTCTCTCTTGTGCTTGTTGTTTGGTCAACAAAACAACAAAATAGTTTATGCGGGATGAATGTTTCTACTTTTCTCCCTCTTTCCCTCCTTTTTCTCTCTTTCTTTTCCCCTTTCTTTCTCCTCCTTCCCTTTCTCTTCCCCTCTCTCTCCCTCTCTCTCTTATACAATTGAAAAAAAGAGGAAAGGAAATGAATACATTGAATGAGTATAGCAAAAGCATAAGGAAGCAAAAAGGAAAGAGAAGAAAAGAAATAGATGAGAAGAATTAGATATATTCATCTAATTATTTAAATTCAATTAATAATTCAAATTCATTCATTAACTGATTAATTAAAACATTTTAAATTTATGCAGAAATCAATACTTAATTGCTATAAAAATTATAAATTAATAATTTAAATATTTGAATCTAATCGGAAAACAAAAAGGAATGCAATTTATTTCTGCATTTTTTATTAAAGATTCACTTTTATATACCATTCGTCATACTTTTTTTATTGTTCAATTATTAATTAACTGATTACTTAACAATTATTCCTTTCCAATATTGAGAAATCTTTCCGGAAATTCTATGCTATTTTTCAATAACTCGGAAATGATTTTTTATGAATGTCTTAGAGGATGGTAATTAATGTACTTTGTTAGTTCCTTCAATAGTGTATGTAAGTAATTTAATTATAAAATATCATAGCGATGAATAAAGAATTAATTCATTCCCTCAAATTAAGTGATGCTAAATTCGCTTGGGACATAAGTAATTTCGTAGCGTCCAGTGTTGTTATCATTGATGCTATCGTTATCATCGACGTCGACATTGTTGTCGTTATTGGTGTTATTAATATTATTGATAAGTAGTATTATTAGTGTGTAATATTACTTAGCAATCAGTTCAATTATTGTTATTGCTAGTAGTAGTTATGATACTATTATTATTATTATTTTTATCATTGTTGGTATTATTATTATCATTATTATTCTTATTTAAAGAAATATATTAATATTATCAATATTATTGCCAGTTTGTTTTATTTTTAATGTTTGTAAAAGATCAAATTGTAATGATTGAAAGGGCTGTATTATGTATGTGAGCAATATCGTATCTTTCATATATTCTAGTTCATTCATCTGGCTATTTGTTATCGGAAATTTTCGAAATTCTATTTGGTGTTAAGAAAAAAAAATGGTCTTCAGTAAGCACACTTAGCTTTGGTTACAGGTTTGTCTGCTCAATCGTTCGGAATGCCTCCAACTGGTTCATTAAATTTGTCGCTTCAGGTGGCGGGTAATGCGACTGTAAACACAAGTGGAAATGATGATGAAAGGATTTGGTTAGTCTTTGTTTTTGTTTTATAAAGATTGATATTTCTCGGTGAGTAATATGGGAAGGAGAGTTGAGAAGGAGAGCAGGAGATGAAGGGAGAAAGTTGAGAAGCATTAAGTTTAATATCTATCATATAGTTGAGGGGCGAGTTTTTCTTGTTGGAAGTTGCTAGCTGGTACACATTAAAAAAGTAAGCATGCCTGAAATTGTAAAGAAATTAGCAGATTTGTCGGGATTTCCAAATTGAAATTGATTGCAGGACTCAAATATTATCTGAAGTAAGCGCTAATGGTATGAGCAACAGTGCACCAGGAACGATTCTCTTCCTAGGTAACGCTACAAGGAATTGTATAACCTGTCAAATTTAAAGAGCCAAATTGCTTGTTTTTCCAATAAGAAATCCTTGTAATTCTTGTCACTTTTATTTTAATAAATTAAGCCTTATTTTCATAGTAACTCAGTAAGCATTTATCGCAGTTGCAGAAATTATCATCAAGAAAATTTAAGAAAAATAAAGAAGCATGAAGTGAAACTTCAGCTGGAAAATATGGAATGTTGTTGTAGACGATTGGATAATATATTCCAGCGGTATTTATTAACAAAATGGAGAAGCTTGTTTATCAAGTAATTATCTTTTGTTACTTTGCAGGGAATAGGCAGAGTGGCAAAAGTTGGTTATTGAATAGACTTGAGAAACGAGAAACATCTGGTCGTGGTTCTGCGCTAGAGTACCATTTCTTAAATGTACACACGGATTATAGGGATGTAAGCTATGCTTATCAGTTGGCTTCAGCAGGTACATATATCAAGTTTAATTCAACCATTTTATTTGATCGAAATCTCTAATTAGATCTGCTAAGACTATTGACTAAGTAGAAATGACTTTAGGCAATTATAAATGTTTGAAATATATTCTAGAAAACGCTTGTGATAGCTAAATTCCAAAAAAGGTAGAATCGTAGAAATTATTGCGGAAAGCTTCAAGCAAGTTTTCTATGCAAGGTTTTTCGCATCTATGTTAATAATGTCGAAACTTGTATGTTTCAACTATTTAAACATTACAGTTTTAGGTGCCGGTGTTGCACCTGGTGAAAGTGTAACACTTCCAGTATGGGTTTTGGATGGTGATGTAGCGTTTGCACCTTTGGTAAAATTTGCTTTAACCGCACCATTAAGCAAAAGCATTGTGATATTATGTGCGTCGATGCAAGAACCTGGGACAGTATTGCCATCACTGAATAAATGGGTGAAAGTGATAAGTGATCAGATCGAAAATATATTTGATAAAGCTACCGTTATAGATGCTCGTAAATCGCGTGAGTTGTTTTATAAAATTTGATACCTTTTATATAACTCTAAGAACCTTTTATAACTCTTTTATACCTGTACAAGTTAATTAAAGTTAAGTTAATTCTGCCTAATACTATGTATAATCTTAAATTCTTAGAGATGAAAGAAGGCCGAAATACACTTATTTCATCGGTCGGATTTTTTTCAGAAGAGTTGTTTTGGCAGGAGTATGTTGAACCATTGGATAGCTCGATGCAAAGCGACAAAATACCATCCATGGAAACAGAACATGTACGTTCGCATTTTGTGGTATTATTTGTAAAATTCTTTCATTCAAATACTTAATTCAGTAGTTGGATGATCTCTTACACTGTACTTTCCTGCTTTGCTTAACTATCTTTTATCTGCTTAAAAAGAAAATGATTCAATACATTTATTTCAGGTATTGTTACCGTTGGAACAAAACGTCTTAACTCGAAATACAGGTGCTGCATTAGTAGTTGTGCTAACGAAGAGTGATTTAGCACATAATGAAATGTCTGATGAACAGCTCGATCGCTTACAGTATCATGTTCGCAAATTTTGCATGGCACATGGAGCTGCTTTGGTAGGACATTGTATATTTTTTTATCATTAGTGTTTCTTTTACGTTGTATACAAAAGTTTTTCTTTTTTCATTCAATTATATGGCTTATATGAAAAACATGTTTCAGGTTTACACATCAGCGAAAGAAGAAAAAAATACAGCTTTGCTATACAAATATGTCGTTCACCGAGTGTGTGGTATGCCATTCACAACACCTGCTCAAGTTGTTGACAAGGATTCAGTATTTGTGCCGGCAGGTTGGGATAATGAGAAAAAACTGGATATAATTAAAGAAGCGATTCCAGATGTGGACCATCCGTTAGCGGTTAATTTCTACTGATATTATATTAGCAAAGCAAATAACGAAGCATAAAATGCACACACATTTGGTAGTTTGGAATTAAACTAAATGAAATTTATGTGTTATCCGTAATGAGATCTATTATTGATTGAAATTGATGGGCAAATCTTATGTCCATATTTCAGTTCATTTTCAAATCGTTTTAAAAAAAAAAAGATTTAGAAAATAAAAAAGTTGATCTTTTTTTTATCTATTATAGATGGTGCGTGAAAGACAATCAATGCGGGACCAGATAATGGAGGCAGAAGAAGAGCAAGCATTCTTACACAAACTTGCAAGTGTTGAAATAGCGTCACCGAAACGAACTGCACCGCCGCCGAAGCAGACAAGTGAAGGAGCAGATGGCAATTCTCCGCTAGTTTCTTTTTTCAACAATCTTCTTAGAACCAAAGAGGGTCAGGTCAGTTTTTTTTTTTTTTTTTTTTTTTTCTCTTTGATTAATGTAAGTTTCTTTTGACTGAATTATTTTCTTTCTCATATTATTAAGGTTAATCATAAAGAAGCTGCAATGCTGCTTGCAGGCTGCGCAGACGAATCGTGCAACGATTGATCCGCAAGCACAATTACAAAGAATGCTAGAACAGGTAAACAATTCGGCAACATCATCAGCAGCAAAATCAAACGGAGAACAAACATCAGTGACTCCAGAATTACATTCAAGTCAACAACAGTCATCATAATTTTGATTTAAAGCTCTGAGAAGCATTAAATTACAAATTTTACTGCTATAGCTTGTTAGTTGTTCTAAATGATTTCGCTTCGAAATTATCATTGCTGCCCCAAAAATCTTAAAATATCAGTGGTGATTTTGGTGAGCTATGGGACATTACAATGGTACATTGTTCTTATGCGTATATCATCTGTATTTCGTCTTCTCTGTATTATTTTACCTAAACCATATTTATTTGTCCGATTGTTGCTGCTAACCGCGATGTTAATAGAAAGACAAAGGCTTCACCGAAAAATTATAAACGATGGAATATACCTCCTCACGTTGTATATGAGTCTTTATCAGTGTAAATCACGGTTTTCTTATCATATCAACTCTTCGTTTTAGTGCAAAAAAATTCCTGTTGAATTAGAGTGTCATCCCAAACTTAATCCATGTAACTGAAAAATTATTAAATTCCAGAAACATCCAGAAAATTCAAGAAACTAGGGATCGGTGAAAGGCTTTCCTTCCTCATTCCGGATGAAGTTCCGGTTAAGTTCTTCCTCTCTGCTGTATATTTTAATAATAATCACTTGCTTTGCAGTAATTCACCCATGAGCATATTTGAAAGAAAATAGTTAATCTGAATAACAATAATGTGTAGCACGCAGTCATAGTTCACAAAAAATATAAAGATAAGATACTTGTTAAAAGACTGCATTGGGTGTCTGATCTTATTAAATTTCTACAAGTTGGCATACTCCAGATGACCTCTTGCAAATGGCAAGAAAATTTCGAGATCTTCCTGATAATCGCAGTCAAGCTTGCAAAGTCCACTATATGGCGATGGTTTGTAAGGTAGTAAATCGAAGCACGGATGTATTACTCGTTTTTCGGCTTTTCTTAAAACAATTTGTACATTCAGAATTCTGACAAAACTGCAACGATAAACTCAAGAAATCTGCATTTAAAAAACTGAAAAATAAAAATTTTTAAAGAGAACTAGAAAATGCTCAAAATTATTTAATTATGAAAGTCTAGCGCGAATAAAACTCACAGCCGTTCGAGGACGTCGGTAACTGATTCGTTATTCTCGAAAAAAATGTTCGTTTTATACGGTAAAGATCGCTTACAGGGAAGGCGACGAATATTCACAAGCATACCGGTTGGTAAAATACTGCGTAGAATATTCGTTTCGGATCGATGTGGATAATACTGTGTGGAGGTTGACAGGCAACAGAGATACATCTAAAACAGGTTAGGAGTGACAAGTCTGAAGCAGAAAGCAATCGATTTTTCATCCTGCGTATCGAGTCTTCGAACAAGTTCAAAATGCACCTACTACTCAAGAATGATATTAAATGTTTAATTATTAAATTGTCAACAACAATGCAAACGTCCCATCACTTGCTAAATCCATTGGTCTGACTTCAGTGTTTCGAATCCAGAGGATAATATCAAACACTAAGGGTAATGTCTGACACCGAAGGTGATTCGACTGCTGCGCCAATTGGCACAACCTACTCTACCTCCGATTATGCATACACTCCTGATGAATTAATGACATCAGAGCGCCAAGAATCGAGGCCAGATTGGAACTCTACGGGTTTCCGTGTGATATGGGACCACTTATCACTGCGCCAACGCTACTAACTCAAAGTTGCCCAGTGAATTTTCCACACCGAATCTATATCACTCATAGAGCTGACGAAATTATGGAAGCTAAATTTTCAGTCAGAAGTTAAAATGTTGGAGATATTTATTTAAATAGACATTCACTAAGTTATGAACTGTAAACTTCTTAAGGTTGTTGTATTAATTGTTTACATTCCTTAGTAACCTCAACGAAACTACATAAGCTCAAGTAAAATGTGAAGCTTATTGAGACTAGTTTAACCAACACATTGATGATAAAGATTAATTTTGCTGATTTATCAAAAGACTGGCGGATTTAAAAAAAAAAAAAAAAGATTCAATAACAAAACGTTTAACTTACAAGTGGTGTTTCTGAGAATTCTTTTGTAAGAAGACGTAAACTACCAGACAGGCAATCCAATTTCGACAAATTCTTCTTCCATCCATGATCGGCGCTACGTAGCCACAATGTTTGATCTCCAACTTCTGCTACTATGACTCTACAGGGATTGCAATTGGAGATGTCCGAATAAGCACAAGCTAATGCCGGCATCAAATATTTCTGAGGAACAATTTTTAGCTCGGACCACTGAAACGAAAGTTTGATTACATACTAATGGACAAGCAAGAAAACGGCAGAAACAGGATATGTTTCCTAAAGGAACCCATGTAATAGACTAAAAAATTTTAATTAATTAAAGAAACAATATTCAATAATTCAAAATTCAATCAATTCATTAGAATGAAAAAATTCTATCAGTTACAGAGAATTTGTTGAATAACACCAACTAAATCTACTTAAAAGTTCAGGAAATTACTAAGATATAATTTTAGCGGGATGTGACAGTTGAATAATAGAATAGTTTAAAAAATTTTTTGAACTTGAGCAAGTAAATAAAATGTAAGAACTAAAGGTACTTAAATAAAACCTTATTCAACAATTGTTTTTCCAATTTCTCGATTGTATCTTTGTGATATTTACTATGTAAATAAATGAAACGACTATTTTCGATATGAGCAATATAAAGTGGTTCATCTTCGATAGGCTTCTGTAATCTAGAAATTTGATAAGTTATTACTTTTTCTCGATCATTTTAATTCATTCTTTCTTAAAATTTCAATTTCCTCCATTTCAATTCATTCTTTCTTAATAACATTTCAATTTCTTTCATGCCTATGTATCAAAATTATTTCAATTGAAATCTGCTACCATTATTCTCTTAATGATGTAATGAAATTACCTTTCCAAATGCAACACATGTGTAGGTTGCAAGCATTCACCTTCGGAACCTTCCTCACTTGTACAATCATTTGAAAAATCATTGTTCTACAATTAAATTTTTAAATTTCTAACTCCATTTTTTCGGTTGCCGTAACATGTCGCCAAAGTTTTGCCAAAGCTTATTGATTTACAATAAGTAAAGAAGACAAATAATAGGATAAACAATGCACAAGCAAGAAAAAAAGTTAGCAGTTTCTAAGACATGCAAAAGTTTAACTTCACTAATACTAGTTATACATACTTACTATTAAGTAAAAAAGAAAACTTTTGAGTGCTCCGAACAAATTTATAGTAAATTAAAATAAAAACGAAGCATAGCATCTCAAATGAATTCGTCATCAAATGGCAATCAGTACAGCTGTGTTTATACGACCGAATCATTAAAAACTTCATTTGCAAAATTTTTGACATCGTAGATTTTTTAGAAGTGCAATTAGAAATTTTTTAGAGACATACAAAATAAATATCATATCAAATAATAATAATAAATGGTACATACCATTCGAGCCAATTTTTGCTTCCATCGCCTCTCTCGTGCTGCTTTATGTTCGGCATGCTCTTTACAACGATAAAATAGTTTACCAAGATTTTTGTCATGTACCGTTGGATGGTATAAATTGACAAGAAATGGTATGGAGGATACATCAGCGAGTTCTACTCGAACAATATCACCACAAGATTTAATTAAATTTTGAAATGCATTCACTTTTTCCATTGTTAGATCGTTCATGTCGACGTCTGTTGAAATAGTTGCATCCTCATTCATATTTTTTCAATAAAAATACAAAAATTATTCTTTCTTGCCATAATCTGTACGCTGTATTTATTAGGTTCTATTCTCTATTGGCATAATTACATGCAAATTAGGTTAATCTTTAGCATGAAAAAAAAAAAAAAAAAAAACCTCGCAATATTAGATATTAAGAATTGATACTCAATTTTGCTGAAGTTTCCGTTTAAAGCATCAAATCTAATCTACTTCAGTATAGCTGGCTAATTTCTAAAACCATACCTTTCATACGACAACGCAAAGCAAGCGGAGGCAAACGTCCAAAAACCTTTAGAAGAGGCCGAATATTCTCTATGTTGACAATATTGTCGTTACCAATATCCACAAGATCTACTATTACATCATTTCCTTTACTAAATTTCAAGATCCTTGCCCGTAACCATTTCCAGTCATCGATCAACACTGCACACGGTGCACCAATACACATTTAAAAATAAATTGAAATTGTAATAATCTCTCGAACTTTTACCTACATCATTACCAACATTTTCATATGCACTTTATTAGCAACCTAAATTTTCGGGGAAAAGATCATGCCTGATCACTTGAAACATCAAATTCGTTCTCTGCACTGTATACAGTCTGAATTTGACGATATAATTGCTTGCGGACTCGATCTAATGACTTTGGCTGCAATGAAATTTTTACATTTATTACCACAGTATGTTTTCCATTTTTTTGTAATGATATGCTCAAACGATCACCTTAAATGAGCCTCAAAATATAAATTGCTAAAATTAATTCATTTTCTAGCTAGATTAACGTTGATATCCAATAAACATATGTCGCAAAATTTTTGATTGTTTAGAAAAATTCGAAAACAATATTGAAAAAAATGGTGCAAAATCAACTAAAATTTTATCAGATCTAGATATATGAAAGAGCGAATTGACATACTTGAATGCTGAAATCATAGGGTGAAAATGAATTCGGTAAATGTGCATAGAAAACGGGAAGTGTAGCAGATGGAAGCATTGCAGGTGCATTAGCAGTTGTAGCAATGTTGTAGTAATAGTAAGCAATCACTTGTGGTTCGACATATTTCCAGCAGTACTGTGGAAAAGCTTCAGCCATATCTAAATAAATTTGCAACATTATATGAAATAGAAGTTTTGCAATGTTTTTGATTGATTAGAAGAGTAGAATTAGCCAAAATTTAAGCAATCCCATTCATTAAAATACGAATTTATCAATTTATTTACAGTTTCATTAATAAGAACAATTCGCAGTTAAAATACGCACTAACAGAAAATTTCTAACCACTAATATCTCAATAGAACCATCATTATGAAAAGCACATACACCGTAATTGCCATTCTGGTTCACCTGGAACTTCGACCAAATCTCGGCATTCACTCCATTTTACTTCTTTCTTCTTACTTATTAAAAATTCTGAGTTGAAGTCACTTGATCCATTGGACGGAAAATCTCTTCCAGAAGTTGATGTAATTTGAGAAATGTCCACAGTACTAAAATCAGCCATTCTCGACAAGTAATCTGCAATGATAACCTTAGCAATCTTTATACATATCAAAAAATTCAATGAGCTATTACCTAAAAGTTCAATATTTTGCAGACATGGGCTGAAACAACAGTTTCCAAATATCCTAGAACAAGAAACCAGAATTGGACATCATAAATGACTATAGCCCGTAATTACTGGAGGGAAAACTCTTCAGTCACACCAAGCCTTCATAACCAGATAGTCGTAATAAACGCAATACTACTACCCTCATTTATCAATCATCACCAGAAACTCATTCATTATCGCTTTCTCTCTACTTGCTCTACTTTTTTCTCATCGTCTCTTTTCATGCTTATTATTTTTTAACTATTTGCCACAAAGTATTGTGGATATCCATGCATACACGTATAAAACTAATGAAATTTAATTTATTTCGAAAATATTAGATAATACAAGGAAAAAAATGAAAAGTAATATCACATCGAATAGATTGCAAATTATTACAACACTGTACACAAAGAAACTGTATAGTCATTAAATGCAGGAAAAAGATTCCCGTCTGATAACAAGAAACAATCCTGAGTAATTCTTATTCTCTGGATAATATTTTCAGCCTACATAAGCAACTTTCTTCCTTTATACATCTCAATTGTTCTTTTTGAACAGTTACAATAATAAACACTCCTCCAGAATTACTTCTTACTACTCGGTTTTCAATATATTAGAAGCTTCAAAAGGGAGAATTCAGAGACCAGACTTACTAATTCCTTACATAAAGGATGAAAATAAGTAATATAATACTTGGAGAAAGAGATATTTGCAGATGATAGCTTCATAATGAATGACCATTGAAACTGGTATCAAAAAATGAATCCAATTGTTGCATTTCATCATTTTCGTATTCCTCAAATGCACTCTCAAAATCGACATATTCGATACGTGATGTTGATGCTTCCAAATGCTGAAAAACAAAAATCGCACCGCATCTAAACTGCGTACTTCATAGCAATAGCTCTTAATCGTCGGTAAGAGTGCATCAAAAAAGAAAAAAAAGTCAGATTCTTTTCCTCCTCTTCGGTATTTATCGCAATTAACTAAATAAAAGGTATGAGACTAGCTAGATTTTTCAAATTCATTATTTATCAAAAAATATTCTATTGGCAGACCACACTTTTGTAACAGTATTGTAACTTCTAATAAAAATTTGATATTCCAAAATATCAAACTGTTTTTATGCATACAAATCTTCACCAAAATATTAAAAAAGCTACAACTTACTTCAGGCATATGCGACTGCTGCATTGAAGATTGCTGAAGAACAACATCGGTTGAGTTTTCTTCATGTACATAATTTTTAAATTTTCTATGTACTAGTGCATCAACTTCTGGATCATTGAATGATGGTATAAATGGCGCTTTTGGTTCACGTTTTTTTCCGGTTTTAATATTACTTTCATACTCAGATACAGGAAATGAATGTAAACTTTCCGATTGATTTGATATTGATGCCTGCTCACCTACAAACTATAGAAAATATTAACTGCCTTTAAACCTTTCCGAAAATTCTCAGCCGCATTCTAATTTTCATTTAATTATTTAATCTAAATGATTGTCATTCGTTTTACCCATTATAAAGTTAGGATTTTGATGGAAATACAAGACTTTTAAATTGACTGTTGAGGTGCTGAATTTGGCCTGGATACAATAAAAGAGGTCAAATCAAGTCCAAGTATTAGATTATAAAATTCCAAACATAGAGCAACTAGAAAAACTTGAGAAATTTAGTAGAAAATCTGATATAAAGACAAATTTACCGCCTTCGCTCGATTGAATATATTCCATTGAAACAGATTCACAAATTCCCTGTGACACAAGTGGAGCAGAGGCAATATGCTGCATCTTATTAATTATTTCATCATCTTGATTATTTCCTACTTTTGAGCATGGTAATATGTTGTCCAGCTGTAATTATGTAATATCACCATAATAAATACGAGACAACGCGACTAACTTATTGAGATTCATTGAATTTATAAATCACAAAAAACAGCAACATCGAAAGAAGAGAGTATACCTCCAAACATACCTATTTGAACATTGAAAAAAGAGAAAACGACACTCACATCTTTAATACCAAGGCGATGAGCAATCTGAACACGTAGTGCATCCGGATCAATGGCCTTCTTGAGCATTTCCAAATCTAGCATATCTTCTCGGCCGGACAACCTCTGCTGCATACGTCGCACAAGACGTTGTTGCTTTACTGGTATTGATGGGACAAATTTCATAATTTTGCGTTTGCATAGTTCGGATCCAAAAGCATCCAGATATTCGGCACGATTGTATCGTAAGTTGTACGCCGTTACCTGTTTACATAAGCATTTTTTTGGCTGGACTTGACAGAAAAAGTAGCAACTGTTTTTTTAAAAAAAAAAAAACTAATACTGCTAAACTGAAGGCATAGAAAAACGGAAGATTTGGACCCGATTTTTTTTTCAAACTACAACTTCACCGAGATAACATCTGCAATATAAAAATTACAAAAGCATCTAGATTTGTACGACCGCCAAAATGCACAGGTCGACGCCAATTCAGTGAATCGAATATTTCATTTGAGATCATATCAGGATGAAACTTTGAAGGAGAACCTTTTCTGAAAAATGTAATTTAAACAATAAAATGGCTATATCTGCAGTAACGCCGGGACAGAATTATAAGTACTGTTATTGCATTCATTAACAGTACAGTGCATTTAAAAAAGGAAAGTGTTATACCTATGTTTTGAAGAATATGATAAAGAAACAAGAAATAAAACAGAAATTCTGCAGCATGCAATACATAAATAATATGATTTACATTATAATTGATTCATTCTTGAGATATGTAGAGGAAGTGGTAACTTAACTTTGACAATGTAAAATCTTATTAGTTCAAATTAGAAAAAATATGAAGGACATTCGTGAGAAATCTGACCAAGTAACAACTGTTAATACTATTATTTCTGCACCTTTCCTACTTTGGTAACAAAATATTTTATCTCTTAAAATTTAAAGAACACTTACAGAATGGATATTCGAGGAGCAAGACTTGTTTCTTCCGGACCTTTAATACTTTTTAGGGACTGCTTTAAAGCCATTTCTACATCGGCAATGCATTTCTGATCTGCCGGAAGATTCCTTGGCAAAGTAGGTCGAGCCGCACTATCAGACCGCCGTTTCCGGAATGATGGTTGTGTCTCCAAACCCGTAGTCATTTCATTAGAAATTCTATGGAATGTTTCTGAATTGTTTTTTTCAAAATAAGATGTATGTGTGTCAACAGTTTGTTGCAGACGGTCATTTATTATTGACTGCTGTTTCTGGATGTTTGTCTTAGACCAATTCTTCAAATAATTCTGAGCTGCAGCAGATGACTTTAAATTATTAACACCTTTCAACAATTCTTCAAGTGTCAAATCACCAAAGTCTTTTTTTGCTTCCTCCAAGGAAATTATATTCAACAAATGATGTTGCTTTTGTCCCATGCACAGCGATGTAGACACTGCTTCATTTGTGACGAAATTAAGTTCCAGAGCCACTCTAACTACTAATTCCTTCATTAAAGAGGCGACCACATAATCATCGTCAACAACCTCCGAGTTCGATCGTTGTTGCTTTTGTTTTTGGAAAACTTCCCATATTTGAGCAATATTTACAGATTCTAGCACTCCCGTCTTCACCCATGGTGCCACGAGCGATATCCGGTCTGAAGAACTGCTAGTTGCTGATACAGTGTCATCAAAAGTTGCTTCATCAAACCTTTCTTCGAAACCAGCATTTTGTTTTTGCTTTCTTGTAATTTTTGTCGCCATTTCAGAATTACACTGAACTTTTTTAAAATCTTCATCAGTATGCGCGACGTCATTTTGAGATGCTGACCGCAAAACTTCCAGAATAACAGTGCTATTATCTGAATGTATCTCC